GTCCCAAATAATGTTTACTGGCTACTGTCCGATGAACTCGTGTATTTGCTGAACCCTGATGGTTGATCAAAAAAAAAGAAATGTGGATATTTCAACAAATACTTGATTTCATTTTGAATTAAATGCCTATGTAATTGATTAAGTTTCGTGAGCGTCTTTCACCCATAAACAAAATCTTGTTTTATACCTCCAATGTGCTTTGTTATGGTAAAGTATTTATTCCTTGTCAATTTAATGATACAGCTGATAACATAGGGTTGTTGTTGTTGTTGTTGTTGTTGTTGTTGTTGTTGTTGTTGTTGTTGTTGTTTTAAAAATCATGTCAATTGTGCTTTCTTTATTCACACCAAAAATATATAATAATTGACACAAAAAAGAACTGAATAGCTTTAAAACGGACGATATAGTGCCTTGTCAATAAATTGCTTTTTTAAATCAAATGGCACACAACAATTAATCATTCAATTAGTGATATAAATCCTAAACGATGATCGACCATGTGGATCCTTTGCTGGTAGTCTTCCCATAGAATGTAGTGTGTCCTGAATACTGAGGTACTTTTGTCTTTGAAGTGACGTCACCATCTCAACAATCAATAAAATCTGCTCTTTTGAACGCATAGATGAACATTCAAAACCGCGTCCTTGTACGAACTTGAATGGGGTCCTGCCTAAACTACCTACACTGGACTACATAAACTAGTAGAGAGGCGACTGTCGATTTGTCGTTGGCTGCGATTGGACGTCACTAAACATGACATTCATTGGTCCTCGGTATCGAACGAAAACAAATAACGGACTACAGTGAAATAACAGACTCTCGACTAAATTAACATTAGCAGAGCGGTTTGTTGTAATAATTTTCACTAAAGACAAACGTTCCAGTTGGAGTGAGTTAGTGAGTGAGTTGGGTTTAACGCCGCTTTACAGTATTCCAGTTATATCACGGCGTATCAGCTTAATGTGGGAGGAAAGCCCGAAGTGATGCAGGTCTCAGACGTTTACCACTTCAGTGAAACCAACGAGCACGGGTATGGTGCTGACAAACCTAGAAACATAATCGGTGCGAACCGGGATTCAAAACCACAATCATAGGTTTCTGGCGTGCCCAAGGGACGCAACTCTGCACAGCGAAGCACGGTGCCTTAGACGACTGGGCCACCCGTGCCCCCTTCAAAGTGGACGTATGTTTCCATGTGTATTTGTATTTGTAATTAATAATCCTCTGGGTGTTACAAGAAGTCCCCAGACCGCCTCTGTGGTAGAGGTAGAGCGGAAGGTCCAGGGTTCGATCCACCGTAGTGGTGAACGTCTGAGACCTGCATCACTTCCTGTGTTCCCCCACATGTGCTGACATGTCGTGATGTACATGTAACTGGAATACTGTTCCAAGCATCGTTCAACGCAACTCACTCACACGGTTCTACAATCCTGTGTCGGGTTGTCGAGAGCCTTTTGTGTGTGGAACTGACCGATACGCCAGTGATTATGTTTCTAGGTTTGTCAGTACCATACATCTGCTCGTGGGTCTCGTCAAAGTGGAAAACGCCTAAGACCTGCATCATTACTGACATGCCGTGACATAACTGGAATACTGTTCAAAGTGGCGCTAAAACAAGATTCAGGAGTTCTTCTAGATTGACATTACTCCAAGAAATGTTGTCTGATAGTATATCTGCAACATAAAAAGAATACACAGTATACTGACTCGGAGCCGACCAGTCCTTGTTTTAGCCACTTAATGCCGAGCGCCAGGCAGGTTAACAACAAGTACCATCTTTTAACGGTATGACGCGACCGGGGATCGAACCCGGACCTTCCGCTCTCCGGGGGTTCGCTCTACCACTAGACCACGGAGACGGTCTCGACATCTCAACATATATAACGTGTGGAGGGCTATGCACTGCCAGGTGCCACGTGTCGCAACTCCGACACAACAGAGGAACCTACTCTCCTTGCCATGAGAGGGTTTTTTCGGCATTTTGCCAAATTGGTTAAGTTCCGCATGCCATGCTTGAGATTCCAGCTGTGCAGGGAGGAACTCCTCGCCTCCGGGAGCCAGAGCCTACTCTGCATCCTCTTTCCACGCAGATAATGCACTGTTGTGTTGGCACCGTGTTGTTATTAACCACATGGCGATGTTTCAGACCCACCTTACACAATACTCCTCTCGTGTACGTTGTAGACTAAAGAGTGTGGTTGTATTTGAGTGTGGTTCAAATTAATCCCCCGGCCTCCCGTTTCCCCATAACCAATCAATGATAACTTAAGGACTGGCTTCCAGTTGTCCATAACCATCAGCGCTAATTACTGTAAAGTTTTGGCTTCTATTGTCTTTTGCTAATCACCCCTCAGCGGCAGTTATCTGGTGGCCTCCTTGTTAGTTTCCACCTTTTGTTATCTTATTACTTTTATTGTCCTTACATGTACATTATATATAATATTATGATCTCTGCCTCATAGCATTAAGCATATACTCCGAAACGTTGTGTTTCGTCATAATAAAGAAGATGACATCCATAGATTCTCGTCCTTATATTATTTTCATGTTTAAAAAAAATAAATCAATTTATATTTTTTTAAATAAAAACATGTAGAAATATTCTTTGGAGTGCTGACAAAACACAGGAAAAGTTAAGTTTTTAGATGATAAAATCGGGGAGAGGTATAGTTCCTTTTGCTCCTCGGTTTAGGTACCATACATGCAGACACCATAGATAGTGACCAAAGGGATCAAGGCTCTATTCAGCAATGTTTAAAGTACTTTCGTGAGATAGGAAGATTGAGCTTGTACCAACGTGGGAAAAAGAACACTCTCGTCCATCCCATAAACTCCAAGCTTGCTTAATTATAACTAATGCTGTGGGAACTGTTGCACGTGCTGCGGAGGAGGAGGAGGAGGAGGAGTGCGAGGAGCCGATAGACAGTCAGATGTGGTATGCAAGATGTTATACGTATTTACGACAATGGCAGACATGTTTCCCTCTCCTTTACGTCATTCCTCCATACGATATATTCATTCATTCGGTTCACACGGTTTATTCATGATTCATTTTCTTAGTGAAGTAACATTTAGTTCCCGTTTCCCACTCGGGTCCACTCGTCTTATTCCGCTACCCGGCAGCAATGGTGTTTGTTTGTTTGTTGTTTAACGCTACACTCAGCAATATTCCTGCTATGTGATGACAGAACCTACTGGGGATATTTGTTAAGTCTTTGAATGGCATTTAAAAGGGATACACATAAGGAAGCGAATTTATCGATGTCAGCTTCTTTAGTATGAATATATATAAAACATTGTCTGATGTACAAGACATGGTACGTAATAATAGATTTGCATGATTGTGCAGTATTCGTAGGGCAACGGTTGCCGCTAAATCAATATGTGATGGTAGAATTACCAGTCACCCCAAATTAGAAGCTTCAAACCGGGATTGGATACCAGTTACCCTATTTTCCACTTAAGTGATCACACACACACACACACACACACACACACACACACACACACACACACACACACACACACACACACACACACACACACGCACGCACGCACGCACGCACATACATATATATATATATTCTACTCTCTAAGAGAGAGACAGAAAGAGAGAGAGAGTATTTTAAGTAAAAGGAAGAAAAAGAGAGGGAGGTAAGAGACAAAAAGAGGGGGAAACTTTTTATTTATTTATATTTATTCAACATCATGGCCGACATTATTGCTTGTTATTGCTAATTGTTGATAAATATGTCTGATGATTACATTATTTATACATGACTCATGAAGGGAAAAGGTCAAGCTTATAACAATGTCTCTTAAAGCACACCATGATTCAGCACAAATGACCTTATTACCGTATCCTGTTATATTACAACTTTGTTTGCACACAGTTCGCATTGTGCACTTCCTGCCTATTAACACTTCACGAATGTCATGAGTGGTAGAGGCACAGGAAAAAGATTAGTGATTAGAACTATGGAAAACAATCCAAGTCATCGTGTAGTGAAGTATGGCAGCGCCGTGGTGACATTACCACCGCGCGAATGGACCCAGGGAATATTGTAGTTTTACCAAAATGCAAACCCAGGAAGTATAGAGAATGCGAAGCGATATTGCACAGAAATACCGATATTGAGATGCTGGGAATGATCGTATATGCGATAGGGCGGGTAGGACATGTAAGTGAGCGAGTGAGTATGGTTTTACGCCAATATTCCAGCAATATCACGACGGGGACACCAGAAATGGGCTTCACACATTGTACTCATGTCGGGAATCGAACCACAAAGCTATCCGACCGCCCCAGGACATATAAGCGCTGACAACTCAGAAAACACACCAACCCCGTATATACTGGTACCCCAACTGCTCATACAAATGTAACGCTGCCAAGATTGTTGCTGAATATCAAAATCAATTCTAAAGAATATCATATTTAATAACAATATTTAAACAGTTCTCTTCTGGACGTGTTCTTTATGCCAAAGGAAGTGCTTCGATTCCCAACATGGCTTAAATGTGTGAATCCCATTTCTTGTGTACCCCGTTGTGATATTGCTGGAATATTGATAAAAGCATCGTAAAACACAACTCACTCACTTACTTTAAAAAAACTTCCGTGAAGTGCTGTTTTCGACCTTTATTCACGCTCGATGGACATCCTGTCCAGATATTGCTTGGTCCTAATCCATTGTCACTTTTATTGACAACCTGCTGACCCACGGTCATACAACGACAGCAGTGTGACACGTGGACCCTCGTAAGTGAGGGGTTACAGCAAGATCGCACGAAGAAAACTGACATACGATAACGTTTTCGGTGTATCCCTCGAACAAATGATTCAGAAAATTCTGTTTTCTCGGAAACGGATTCATGAGCTTAGTAAACAGTTCTAGGAAGTATTTTTTATGAGTAACAGGACTCGCAGCATGATCTCATCACGGCAAACCGATGACGTGCCCTTAGTAACACATCACAACCGGAAGCTTAATTAATCCTGATGCTAATTCCTTCGCCAGTCCCATCTAGAGTGGCGAGACAACAAACCTTGTGCCTCTCAAACCCGGACAGACTGTATAATATAAACCCCGACCGCCAATACCGGCAGTCATTCAGTTTCAAGTCTTTCCAGACCCAACTCGCAACCTCGCGACAACTCGCAGAATCTCGGTAGAATAGCCTATTACTGTGTAAAAGCATCGTCTCCGTGTAACTTCAGGCATGGATCTGTATCAAGGAAAATGGGAACTGCTCCCCGAAGAAACAACAGGATTTGATGAATTCACCGATGCTATAGGTAAGACTGTTTTACCTATGATTTATGATTTACCTAACAGAACCGCTATGCCCCGCGCGTACATTAACCCTTGGATTCCTGTTTTTCGATTGCCATTGCCCAAGGAGTGCTGACGTTATACGAATCAAAGGGCGTACACCTTACGTGAATAAACGACCTGCTTAAGATTTTTCCTGGGGCCACAGACTGACTGACTCTAGGTCAAGCTCCGTGCCTTCGTTGTACGTTCTTAATTGCTGCATATCTCTACATGGAACGACTTGCCACTCTCCCAATTGCAAATATCTCCCATTCTGAAAAAGTCAAAACATCAATGTCGTTTAAAGGATGTATTTTATTTAAAGCCTGTCAACTTAAGGCCACAGAAAATATATTTTGTTCGTGATCACTTCTTCAACAAAACAAGTCGACGGGTCCATTTATATTAGTTCTTTTTAGACTTTGGAATCACTCAAACCTAAATTGGCGTTCCTCAAAGGCTCTAAAACCTCACAGCCTGTCTTGATTACCTTAGGATAACTGAGGATCATTCAAATGTTAAAATTAGTAAACATTTTCGGATATGGCCGATTTTTTACGTTGGTCTGTGATGAGAGACACCGCACAGCAGCAACAGACATATGTGTGGTATGCTCTCGACGATATTAACCAGACACTTTACATATTACAGAAGACTTGTTAGCCTCACTGTCAAACGTTTGTCCATGTCACGGCAGAGAAGACCCCACGAGCACATTTTTGCACGTGTTGGCAATAGAACTAAAGGAAACCTTTAGAATCCTGCCGTGCTTTTGGGTGGTCGGTTATTATATAATTATACAGAATATATAATTTTTTATTATGTTGCCTCAGATAGATCCTTGTCAGTCATATTGAAAAACCTGTATTTTGGTCATAAGTTTGAACATACGTTCCGTTGTTGCTATATATATGAAATGTAATTTTGACCTCGTTTTGTCCGTGATCTTAAATTATGTCAAAAGACATATTTGGCCGAGTGAGATGAACCTTTATAGTTCTCAATATTTCTATCTTTTATCTATATTTGATTCAAATTATTATATTTTAGTCTTGGTTTTTAGTCCTCAGAATTTAGGTACCGCTATATTTTGTTTTACATTTTATACTTTTGACTACGTATCCAGGTGAGCTACAATGCCACGACACCATTTTCTGCTTATTTTGATGTTTATCGCCATATTTGGCAAAATCGTTATGCTGTCATGTTCGGCTATGTTAGTAGTAGCCTCAAAGAAACAAACTTTGCAAATGTGTAAAATGTGCACCCAATATTGTGTACCGAATATTTTGCCTAAGAGATGCAGGTTATTAAAAGCATGAACATCTTTAATTCATTTAATGTAACTCATATAGGAATAAAATATAATGTTTCCCACAAGGTATGACGACATGTCAGATACTTTCATCGTATCACTACATATTCATCACCTCAGCTTCTGAGACATGTATGATAGATGCAAATTACTTTACATGTGTCTTGTAACTTCGATCCGTAAAGATCCGGGTTAGAATTCTTCAGCAGCCAGTGCCAGTGCTTTCCGTAACAGGCGACAATGCTTGTCATAAGAGTCGACTAACGGGATCGGCTGGTCAGGCTCGATGACTTGGTTGATGCGTGTCATCTTTTCCCAATTGCGTAGATCGATGCTCATGATGTCAATCACTGGATTGTGTGGTCCAGACTCGATTATTTACAAACCGCCATCATACAGCTGAAATATTGCTGAGTGGGGCGAGATCAATTGCTATGCACAGTGTAACTTAAGCTCAATAGATATGAAATACACTTTACTGTGGGTCTTATGGTCTCAGATATACCGCTGTTTTTACAACATGAACTGTTCCAATTGTCGAGAGAAGGTGCAGTCGCTGAAGCGTTGCATAGCTCGTCACGCCGAAAATCCGGGTTCGATTCCAACGTGACAACAATATGTGAAACCCATCACTGTGTCAACCATCCCTCGCTCGCCCCGCTGTACATTGGCTAAAGTTAGCGAGAAAAACAACAACATTCACTGACTCAGTCAAAAAGTCCACATCCCGTGTTAAGAGTTGAAGTCTTTTACGTGACCAACAGAGAATGGTGTTGTCGTTTATAAGTTATAACAGGGTTATTAAACGAGGCAGCACGGTATAGCCAGAAAGTAACAAGCCCGTATTCTCGCAGGTTTCCATGGAATCAACACCAAACGATGTATGGTCTGCTAACATTCCGCAGGGGACACAGTGACTCAGTGTTTGTCTCAACTCATATGTCAGAGAGATACATTTCAACTCGATAAAACGCTGTTCAGCACGCCGATCCCAATGGCCCACTTCTCGTTATTGTGAATTGGTTGTGGTGTGCGGCAGGAATATAGCATTGTTTGTGTTCGCCTGCGGTTGGATGTATCATAAAGAGGGGTCAGCTTTGAATCCAGGTCAGGTGTCGGAAAATACCACGCCATGCTGGAGGTTGGGTGAAGGGAGCATCCTGAACGAGGACTGCAATTGGTAGAGCATATAGGATGTAGACTTTGCTGAGGAGGTTAAAATAATATATCGTCTTGCGTCTCCCCGATTGGACACCAGATAATGTTTTTGAGGTTGGCGATTTGTGAGACCGGGCGGAAGATGGTTTCTGTGAGACGGAAGGAGGGAGCGGGAACAGTCCGTCTGCGAGCTTCGAGCAGATACCACACTCATGTTATTAATTCACATTCTATAGAACAAACAAATATACAAAATGTTCACAGGCTACTGGTAAATAATTATTATTCTTAGCATTGTGATCCAGGTTGTGTTGGTTGGTGCGTCTGACATTAATGTACAGTCACAGTTTATTTTCAGTGAGTGAGTTGTGTTTAACGCCGCTTTTAACAGTATTACAGTTATATCACGGCGTGTCAGCTTAATGTGGGAGGAAAGCCCGAAGTGATGCAGGTCTCAGACGTTTACCACTAAGTTGAAACCCACGAGCACGGGTATGGTGCTGACAGACCTAGAAACATAATCGGGGCGAACCGGGATTCGAACAATCATAGGTTTCTGGCGTGCCAAAGAGACGCAACTCTGCACAGCGAATCGCGGCGCCTTAGACGACTGGGCCACACGCGCCCCCAGTTTATTTTCAAGTGTTTTACTGTCACTTATTTATATACATCACTGTCGCTTTTATATACACTGTCTATGTCGACTCACATATAGCCGTGAAATCGTATTACAAAATTCATTTCTCTCCTCAATTATAAAAACAAATAATTTTCATAGAATAAACATTTTCAGAGCCTTCCTATCTACAAAAGATGACATGACTGTGAAATAGAGCTGGCTAGAGCTGGCTAGACTTGCTTTTATATAAAATTAGATTAGTTTTGATTTCATAAAATACAAAATATTCAACAGTCGTGATACAGGACTACTGTATAGGGAGTGGACATGTATGCATCACTGTTACTGCTACTGTAAATACAACTGCCTGATATCTGTAGCAACGTGAATGAACGAGTGTGAGCAATAGCATGCCACATAACTACGACCTTTGGTATCCTAACCGCAAGTGTTTGGACATCCGGTCCCTTGATATAATTGTAGTTGGAATAAGACGCTTGAAATTCCATTTAATTATACAGGCTATATATAACCAATGAGAACACGAACTATATTACAAAAATAAATAAAATATATTTATATCGAACCTCCACAAATCGAACAAGATATTTTTAACATAAATAACTTCCTTAAAGTCTACATTTTTTCTTATAAGTGAAGTAGAAAACAATTATATCAGATACACGTTTTACTATGATAAACGGTGGGTTTCAAATAGACGTAGTATTGTGATAACGGTGTGTTTCAAATATAACGGTGATAACGGTGTCTTTCATGACAGAACGGGGGCACGGGTGGCCCAGTCGTCTAAGGCGCCGCGATTCGCTGTTCAGAGTTGCGTCCCTTGGGCACCCCAGAAACCTATGATTGTGGGTTCGAATCACGGTTAGCCCCGATTATGTTTCTAGGTTCGTCAGAACCATACCCGTGTTCGTGGGTTTCACCTACGTGGTAAACGTCTGAGACCTGCATCACTTCGGGCTTTCCTCCCACATTAAGCTGACACGCCGTGATATAACTGGAATACTGTTAAAAGCGGCGTTAAACCCAACTCACTCACTCACTCATTCATGACAGAACTGTTTGAGAAGAAGTACCGTTATTTCTAGCGACTCGAGGAAAATACGCTAACCAAATATATTGAAAATATGTTGTGTGTATTTAAACCTGAATGAACTTGAATTTACATCAGAGGTATAAGATACGTTTTTCTTTTATCTGACATGCATTAAGAAAGTACTTACGGCAAAACATTCCTGAAGTGACTTGAAAATGGCCGCTCGTTTATCTCGTTTTAGTTTCAAAGCATTCGAGTTTTCATACCGTGTTTCTACAAAGAAAATACATCAAAAACCATATTGAAATGCTCTATTCCCTAATTAGCCAACACATGTGATAATGTGTTATTAGGACACATACGTACTATTGGTATATCAAGGCGACTGTCACTTAAGATCACCACATTATTTTCACTGCTGGTAGAACAAACAAACAAACAAACTATGTACTCATATTGGTCCACAGGAGACATGCTATATATTTTTTGTTTTGTTTTTTGGTGTTCAGCGGTTGTTGTTCAGCAATATTGTAGCTATATGACGGCTATAAATAATCGAATCAAGACCTAATACTCCAGTGACTGACATCACAAGCCGTTGAGATACGACAACATACATCAACCAAGTCAGCGAGCCTGACCACCCGATCCCATTAGTCGCCTCATACACAGGTACCTGAAGACAAATTCTAACCCTCATCTTCAGGTATGCTAAACGAAGGTTAGAGTCTAATCACCCTTCCTAGCACGTCAACCAGATGTTCCAGGTAACATATACATTATTTATATATATTTAATATATCAACTGCCAGGTTAAATAAACTTGAAAACTGGATTTGACCAAAAAAATACAAAAGTGACCAAAACCTTACTGGGATGAAAACAGTCTCTGAAACACTGCAAACTTAAGGTCCAATATGATACCCGTCTCTCATACATAACCATCGAATAAACCATGGCTTGTTTATTTCATATTCAGCCACTGTCAAACATGGGTGTATACCTTTACCCTGCAGTATATTAAACAACGGGGCGTGAACATTCTCTATTTTTTAGTTAGTATTCTTTTGTGAAATTTCATAGGAATAACACACAATACATATAATTCACATGGGAACAAAGCCGTCATCTCCTTCGAGTACTGGTAAAGCTATAAAATATCTTTGTGGAAATATTTACAAGCATTGGGCGTGTACCACTTGTCTGGGTCATTGGGCATGTACCACTTGTCTGGGCCATTGGGTATGTACCACTTGTCTGGGTCATTGGGTATGTACCACTTGTCTGGGTCAAAGGGCATGTGCCACTTGTCTGGGTCATTGGGCATGTACCGCTTGTCTGGGTCAAAGGGCATGTGCCACTTGTCTGGGTCATTGGGCATGTACCGCTTGTCTGGGTCATTGGGTATGTACCGCTTTTCTGGGTCAAAGGGCATGTGCCACTTGTCTGGGTCATTGGGCATGTACCGCTTGTCTGGGTCATTGGGCATGTTCCCCTTTTCTGGGTCATTTGGGCATGTACCACTTGTCTGGGCCATTGGGTATGTACCACTTGTCTGGGTCATTGGGTATGTACCACTTGTCTGGGCCATTGGGTATGTACCACTTGTCTGGGTCATTGGGTATGTACCACTTGTCTGGGCCTTTGGGTATGTACCACTTGTCTGGGTCATTTGGGCATGTACCACTTGTCTGGGTCATTGGGCATGTGCCACTTGTCTGGGTCATTGGGCATGTACTACTTGTCTTGGTCATTGGGCATGTACCGCTTGTCTGGGCCATTGGGTATGTACCACTTGTCTGGGCCATTGGGTATGTACCACTTGTCTGGGTCATTGGGCATGTACCACTTGTCTTGGTCATTGGGCATGTTCCCCTTTTCTGGGTCATTTGGGCATGTACCACTTGTCTGGGCCATTTGGTATGTACCACTTGTCTGGGTCATTGGGTATGTACCACTTGTCTGGGCCATTGGGTATGTACCACTTGTCTGGGTCATTGGGTATGTACCACTTGTCTGGGCCTTTGGGTATGTACCACTTGTCTGGGTCATTTGGGCATGTACCACTTGTCTGGGTCATTGGGCATGTGCCACTTGTCTGGGTCATTGGGCATGTACTACTTGTCTTGGTCATTGGGCATGTACCGCTTGTCTGGGCCATTGGGTATGTACCACTTGTCTGGGCCATTGGGTATGTACCACTTGTCTGGGTCATTGGGCATGTACCACTTGTCTGGGTCAAAGGGCATGTTCCCCTTTTCTAGGTCATTTGGGCATGTACCACTTGTCTGGGCCATTGGGTATGTACCACTTGTCTGGGTCATTGGGCATGTACCACTTGTCTGGGCCTTGGGTATTTACCACTTGTCTGGGTCATTGGGCATGTACCACTTGTCTGGGTCCTCAGGCAAGTATCACTTAACAGGGTCATAGGGCAAGTAACACTTGTCTGGGTCCTTGGGTATGTACCATGTGTCTGGGTCCTTGGGCGTGTACCACTTCTCTGGGTCCTTTGGCAAGTACCACTTGTCTGGGTCATTGGGCAAGTACCACGTAACTGGGTCCTCGGTCAAGTACCACTTGTCTGGGTCATTGGGCATGTACCCTTATCTGGGACACTGGCCAGGCAAGGAAACTATTTGTGATTTTTTTATAAGCACGGTTATAGAAAATAAGGTTTATAATTAATATAGTTTTTTCTCCCGGATTCCTGGCTTTTAGGGGGCGAAACGGCAAACCATGTAACATGTAAACATGTAAATTATACGCCTAACAAACTCGCTCTACTCGCTCACAGCGGGAGTAAGCTATTCCAGACTCTGCTGAGTTTATTACGGAAATGAAATGTCAGTATTACTTGTGGTTTCTGTATTTATTAATCAGCGTTGTTTTTCTATGAGCTCACAAAGCAAGTTCTACCTTGTTACAGCCAAAACAACACAAACATCTCGATACATCAACACTGCATACGGATTAGGTGGTTAAGGCTTGGGGTCTTGGTTACTCGAGTGTCATCATAATATCAATCACTGCCTTGTCTGACTCGACTATACACAGGTTGCCTTCATATAGCTGTATTCGGAGTTATCCAACATACAAACACCCAGTTGTATCCCTGTTGGGGTTAACGTTGTACCCTTCTTTCAGGAGTTCCTGAGCAAGCCCGTGAGGCGTTCAGGAAAGTGGCATACGTAATGGAGTACACGAAAGATGGCGACAGCTGGACGGCAAAGGTGGAGGTAGTGGGGTCCAACGAGCCTAAGGTGTACTCGTGGACGCCGGGGGTGGAGTTTGAGTACGAGGGACTCGATGGCATGAAGATGAAGGTACGTGTTTATCTGCTGGGGGGCATGCATTCGTCATGTATGTATGTGTCAGTGTCAGTGTGTGTGCGTGCGCGCGTGTGTGTGTGCGTGCGTGCGTGCGTGTGTGACCTGATTAAAAGCTTATGTCATGGCCCGGTTTTTTGGGCGACTGTCATGAAACTTGTCCATGAGGTTCGATTTCGAAATTCATTATGGCTGATACGGCAGCCATATTGAAAAATTCTTTTGTCAGGGGTCAGGGGTCACGATTGTTTTGGGTTGGCTCAGTAATTCCTTTAATCTTGGGTGTTTCAAAATAGTTAACATGGCAGCCATACTACAGAACAACTATTGATGACCATTACTCAGCCACATGTCTTCAAAATGGATATAATATTTGCCATGGGTTTAGTTACCAGTCGGACCCAATTCATGATTTTCGAGATATTATAAATTTGGACCATGTTTCCACTTTAGTATCTATGTACGGCAGACATAATGCTAAACATCTGTTTGTGGCCAGAAGTCACGAATCTTTGGATTGGGTTAGCATTTCTTGAATCTTGGGCGATCGAAAATAGTTAATATTTCGTCATCCTTTCATTCGAAAGACACTGTACGCTTTTCTGAACCACGGCATTCAAATTATTGGGAATCTTTTTTAGAATATTAGGAAACACAAGCACTAAAACTTTTCGTTACCCGAATAAAATATCTGTTTGATTCCCATAATGCCACCAGGCAGGGTAGAAGTAAGTACTATATTTTAATGTCGTTTGGTTAATGACTGAGGATCGAACCACCGACCTACCGCTCTCCGGGCTACGTTCTATCAACTACACCAGGGAGACGGTTCTAACATGTAAGAGATCCCATACCAGGACATGAGTTTCTAAATGGAAAACTTTGTTACAGAGCACGATCAGATGGGACGTAAGTGCTTGCCAAGAGGAACACGCCTCTGTGACCGGAAAGTGGACCTCGGTCAGGACTGTGGAAGGAGATTCAATGACACTGGTCAGTTACTTGGAATGATTCAATGAGTGCTCCTGCCCAATGATATGGTCCCGTACTTACTATAGTCTTAGCGATAACATCGCATTGTTGAACGAAGCCTTTGGCCCTTTAAAGAAAGCAACTTCAGCTCTACGACTTTCGTAACACCCTAAACATAACTTACTTCTTTAAAGAGAGCAATCTTAGCACTACGACAGCCGTACCATTTTTCTATTACCATTCACAGGTGATAATAGGTTTTTGTATGCTATGAATGTCACGCTTGGTATGGCGTAATATCTGTTACTTACTTACTTATATTGGAGATTTAACGTGCGCTTTCCGACTGCAAGCGTATGTCGCACACGGGTAATATCTGTAATATAACTCGCGTCTTATATATCCGCCCTCTTAGCGCTGAAGACATAAAAGGGAGGCAATCGCGTTTGACTTGACCATGAATGTTGTTTTGTGTAGTGTATTCCTGTAAATCACCAGAGCAATCTTAGCACTACGGCAGCCGTAACATACATGACCTAATTAACACACGGTCAGGGGTTCTTGGCACGAGGAAAGGTACGCAACTCAGCACAATTGCAGCAAATTACCATCTTAAGTCTACTGGACCGACCGCGTCTCCATTTGCCAGTGCTTTGTAGCGCTATGATTGCCGTGTGAAAGAGAGCTCTGATGATGAACATAACTTTGGAATTAAAATCAAGCTCTGTTAAAACATAGACCGGACTCGTGAGGATCCGGGGTAGAATAGGTCTCCAGCAACCCATGCTTGCTGTAAAAGGTGACTATGCTTTTCGTAAGGGGCGACCAACGGGATCGGGTGGTCAGACTCGCTGAGTTGGTTGATGCATGTCATCGTATCCCAACTGTGTGGATTGATGCCCATGATGTCAATTACTAGATTATCTGGTCCAGACTAGATTGTTCCCAGACCGCCGTCATATAGCAGGAATATTGCTTAGTGCGGCGTTAAACAACAAACAAACAAACTAAACATTGACCTTAGAATTGGTTCCCAGTTACCTATGAGATGACTCAAACTTATAGGTCGTCATCCCTTGTGACGTCAGTTGATTGGGTGTCATCGTGCCCATATGGTGTGGATGCTTGATCTGCTTTGCTGGTCTTGCTAAGACTCGATTGTTTACGGGCCCCTTGATACATAGCATGAATATGGCTGCATGTGCTGTTAACAATCCACTTAGTCCTTCATTGTTGAGAGATAGATTATATGAGTGGTGTATAACCAAGTATGGGTCCATAGTTGGTTATACACTAACTATACGTATAAAACAGGATGAATTTACTGTTATTGTTTCAATACTCAATTACTTCTTTTCAGACATCGGAAAGCAAAGGAAAGTCCATGGTTCAGAAGTTTAAACGTGTCTGATGCGACCACGAAACCCTTGCCGGTCACCATTTTGGACATGGTATCATGGGTACCTGACGTCGGTTTAAAACATACGCAATGCGCATGCGCATTGCGGTATAGGTGTAAGCTTCATATGCAATTGTTGCCATGGCTACTGTTGGTGAATGAGCAAAGATACATCTCCTGAGTGCCAAACATTTTATGAGCGATATCATAAGTTCATATTTATATCACGTTGACCTTTTTTATATTTATGTCTAATCTTTCACGAAATCAAAAATGAAAATAATGAAAATAGGTTCCGACAATGTTCTTGTCATTTACATCAATAGCATATATACTGAAACCAAATCGATCAGAAAAAAACAGTTCATTGTTAGTGACGTGAAACAACTCAGGGCTGAAATAAAAGACATCTGTTCAACGTGAATAAATAAATTAGCAGCGCATTACTATGGACGGATGTGACCAAGTGACCTGCTCAATATGCCCCCTGGTGGTACAAATGCATTCCCTGTATGTCACGCTTGTTATGATGTAATATAACTCGCCTCGCAGATGTTCGCCCTGTTCACGCTGAAGACATATAAGGGAGACAATCGTATTTGATTTGATCATGAATGTTGTGTAGTGCATTCGTGTATAATCATCAATCCTGTGTTCGATCCACTAAATTCAATTTACAATTTATTGAAAACATGTAAGAATTAATATTAGTTTGATAATGTAGAATATGATTATTATAAGAGCATTATCTTTCGGTTAAATTATGGATTTATATTTTTTTCACATTATTTTTTTTCTTTAGTTGGTTCAGAACAGCAATCCAATATCAATTTTCATCATCGATCACAAGCGATAATAGGTTTTCATTTTGTTCACTATCACTGGTTTTGAATGTTTGAATCAAAACGTCCATATACATGTGGTACAAGTGATGTATGATACAAAAATAGAATCGATTTTATTTGGACTTGTTTCAAAAAGAACCTTATAATTTGTCCAAATGTAACAGTTTGGAGTATTACGGAGAGAAGAACTTACATTAACATTACGTTGTTTTCTAGGGAAGCAATCTTATGTTACAAATTGTAGTGTACATTTTCATTCAGTATGCAGTATCATAAACACGATGTACCGACCCGTGTATCTAATATGTTCAACAGCTATTTTATTGTGTCGCATATAATACGGCGGAATTGAATAAAGTATGAGTTTGTACCTGAAAATGTTTTGTTATTATTAAGCAAGCAACGATAAAAGTCACACGAAAGAACGGTTCTGTCATCAATCAAGGTAGAGCATCGTTATCATGGTTCTGGTAGATCATCTTAGATTCGAACCAACGATCAGCGTATCCTGGTACCGTAAACACGTAAATCAGATCTGTGTTTACTGAGTGAGGGTGCACGTGAATAAGATGTGTGTTTACTAGGTAAGGGTGTACGTGAGTCAGATCTGTGCTTACTAAGTAAAGGTGTACGTGAGTCAGATCTGTGCTTACTTATATATACAGCGAGGGGCCTGCATTAGATGTGTTTACTGAAATTAATACCCAAGTGTGCGCGCGTTAGATTTGTGTTGACGGAGACATACCGCGGTTCGCGTGCGCCACGTTTACTGAGTGTTTACAGCGGTGTTGTTTTAGCAACAATTTTTAACAACACTAAAAACATTTTGAATTTTGAAATTAATTAAATTATGTATCATGATATTTGAATATATATACCTTTGCGCTTTTACAATGCAAATATATAAGATATAGCCTATAGCAGCCATGTGGCTTAAAATTCGAGTTTTGTGGACGTTTGTTATCACTTCAACGAGGGCCAGATACAGTGCGGGGAGTTTCTGAACAAACAGCTTTTCATAATAGAGAAGTGTCGTTATTATTGATATATGTTTACATGTGAAATATTTCATTGTCAAATATACATATGGAGGGCGGAGGGGGAGGGGTGGTGGCGTGGTTAAGGTGTTCGCTCGTCATGCTGAAGACCCGGGTTCTCCATTTCGCCACATGGGCACAATGTGTAAAGCTGGTGTCGCAGCGGCTGGTATATTGCTAAAAGATTAGATGCGTAAAACTTTCTCACTCACACCCATATTGAGGGTTAGATCGGTGTTTTACACCGCAGTCATCTCATTTCATTTATATCACAGCAACATCGAGTCTGGGCAAGACAAACCGGTGGTTGATAGAATGAACAACGGTCCAGTAGTCGGGATACAAGGACACATACATGTACTCAAACACATCATACACCAGATACCCAGTAGTCGGGATACAAGGACACATACATGTAAGGCAGGGCGGGACAACTTAGGAATGGCCAGGAGTCCGAACTTGACCACACAGAAGGAAGCGAGCTACAAAAACATGTTTTATATCATTGGAAAGCTCTCAAGGAGTCGAATCCAAATAATGTGTGTCCCAGTGTGTTCACATGTTCATAAGCTCAAAAATTGGCTCAGAAAATGCATTACTGCAGAAATTTCTGGCCGAATTTTTTTTTTCTGCAGAAATTTCTGGCAGTATTTATTTTTTCTACAGAAATTTCTGGCCGAATTTTTTTTTTTCTACAGAAATTTCTGGCCGAATTTTTTTCTGCAGTAATATTTAGCAGAATTATTTTAATTCAGGAGAAATAACATTCAATCATTGGATAGTTTGAATTGAATTCAGCAATTGAAGATATTTATCTTGGTATTATATTTACCAAATTTATCAAGAAAAGTTGACGTCACTCGAATTAAACAATGGAACAACATGTTGGCCTCATACCTTTGTATACTAGACAGATGCAAATCATTGAACCTTGAGCTTACCCTATAATTATCTAAATTATTATGAGAATTTCAGTGACCATCTTCAATGGCCTTTTGACGACTTTGAAGTGTACAACATTAAAGGTGAATGTGATTCTCAAAAAATAAATTTCATAATTATTCCATGGGGCCAACCAAATATATAATCCCCAGTTGGAATTCAAAGAAACAACCTACATGTGATATACGGTACTCTGAAAGTAGGTTAACTTCACACATGGAAAAAAATAGAACACAACCAAGATTTTACAATATAACTGCATATATTGTTTTATAAATTTCATTGTGCACATCTCATCTTATATATGTATATATATATACAATTCTAAATACACAGCTTTACTAAGAAACAAAAACATACAAAGTACAAAACTCCTGCAATGCAATCCTCGGCAATATCTCAGCCACATAGCTTAGACAAAAAATATGTTCATTTCAGCAAAACTTGCTGCTCCTTCTTTATTGTTCTGATACTGACGCTTGTCTTCGGTGCTTTGTCAGAGTGATCTGAAAGTAAAGAAAAAAAATGTAAAGAATATGAGAACATAATTAAAATCACAGTGCATCTATACAATAAAAGCAAAAATAGTAACCTCATGAAGTTGGGTTGTTTCTCTGCCCACATTACACATATTCTAAGTAACGCTGACTAACCCTAATATTACACATCACAATACATATTTCAAAAGAAATGCAATATTTATTGAAATTACCTTTGATTGTTTTTGCAGTTTTTCATTGTTCTTCTCTATTGCCTTTGAACTTTAGTTGGGAGGGTTGTCGCTTCCCTTGGGGCAGGCATGAAGGGCTTGAAGTCTCATAGCTTGGTGGTGGGTGTCCGGATGTCCCCAATCTTGAAGGAGGGCATCGCGGGTTGTTGCAGGCTTCTGTCTAAGTTCCCTTGCACTAAACACTTAACAGTTGATCCAAATCTTCATGCGTGTGCCCCACCATGAGAAAGAAAGTTTCACCTGAAAATAGTATTTACATCAGTATTATCACTATGAAAACAAATCAAATTGTACAAAACTTGTTTATTTTTACAGAATATTGATTTGAATATTGAGAGAAAAATCAATCTTGTGCATTTAAAAAGTTTCAACATTGTGTGCAGATTCTTTTATACTTAGGATGAGCAACTGGACATGAAATACTTGCTTCAAAACAATTCTAATGTGGTTTAAAACAATTTACATAAATTATAAAAATATTAACCACATGTGACTTCAGCATTTACTTTGAATTGTATAGTATAGCCTCAAGGAATAAATATGCTATACATGATATTGTATGTGGAGTCATATACCAATAATTTCATTGATAACTATCTTCATGATAGCACTAAAAGTGATACCTTGGATTGCAGCGTCCACTTTTGACTGGCCGACAAAGTCTTGCAGCTTTACTGGTCCTGGAAATGTCAAATAAATATTTGAACAATACATAAATTGCAACTTTAATGTAATTGGATAGTCATACAAATATAACAATTGCCAATTTCCATTCTCAAAAATCCACAATTCCTCGAAAAAATTAGACAAGTCTACCAGACAAACATTGAATTTATTCAACAGGCCCGTACCAAGCATTTAGCTAAGACAAAGATAAATTTCTATCCTTCTAAACGTGTGTTACAAATATAATGTACAAACAAATGTCTTGACATACATGGCACGATCCCATTATAAAACAAATCCCATTACATCCTTTACTAATAATATTGGACAAACTACAATAACGTAACCCATATATGTGCACTGTGGATACTAAGCTCCACTGGTTTCTAAATAAGAATCTACATAACTCCCTACCAATAGGATATGTAGACAGTAAGATATGTTTTGGTTTGGTTTGTTGTTTACTGCCGCATTCAGCAATATTCCACCTATATGACAGCGGTCTGTAATTAATCGAATCTGGACCAGACATTTCAGAGATTCATATCATGAGCATCAATGCAGGTCAGCGAGCCTGACCACGCAATAGTGTTAGTCGCCTCTTAAGACAAGCATAGAATTCACTGGAAACTGGAAAGGAAATATCACAAAAAGACATATTGTGCTTGGATACCAATTACACAATAATGACCCATTAAATCGGGATTAGTGCACTTTACCGGGCACACTTTTTCAGATCCAATTATCGCTGTTGGGGCTCGAACGCGCTTCGCCGACTCACCGGCTCTGCTAATTAATGCGTTAATTAGCCGACGCTCTGCCACTGGACCACAGGCGCTATCACATGTAATCAGTGCTCGTTTAACAGGTCATTAGATTCACCATTGACATGCATGTGTAATTGAGTAAACAATGAATTGCGCATGCGTGTGACGTCACGGCCCGCTCTCCCATTCATCTTTTCTTGAAACCACACCCGCAATTGTTTATGTCAACAACCAATGGGATTAACTGAATTAACGCTTGAAAAAGTAAGAATTCATGGCTAACCCTTGCCCAAAGCCAGCTAACCCTAATGACCGAAAAACGGGTGTTTGATCGTAAAGACGTGTAAGTTTCCCTAAGACCTAGAACGGGTGTTTGATTGTAAAGATGTGTAAGTTTCCCTAAGACCGAAAACGGGTGTTGGATCGTGAAGCGAGAGTCACCAGAGCGTGAGGCACGGTAACGGTATAACGAGACAGCGTGGCACTATAGCGCGGTAATTGAGCGGATGGTAGAGCTCGGGCTGCGCCCGGTAAACTGCATTGTTGCCCAGAAATTCGAGAAGAAAATTCGCGAAATTCGATATCGACATGTCCTCTAAAAACGAAGAAAGGGTTCTATCACTAAGGTCCACGCGAGAGTATGTCTCGTAAACTTGCCTAGCCCTACGCCTACTGTTAGCACCACCGAGTAGACCGAGCCACCCACCAACTCGCACCCTAATTAAGTCATGGCCCTGTGGGCAACGAGGGCAACACTTACCTGGTATACTACGTACGTAACACCAATATAAGGCCACGCGAAGCCATATATATATATGGGCTACACAATCCGCGTATGTTCGCAGAGCCCTGGCTCTTCCGCTCTTCCTTTCCTAGCTCATGTTGACATTTTGATAAAAAAACAAAAAACATGCACCGTGCTTTGATTCCGAAACGAAATTTAAATTGGCAACACAGTCGGTGGTGGTAAAAAAACCCAGCGCAACGAAGCCGATGGAGTACCTCACCCCTACATTCGCCGTACCAGTTTATTTTCGCGTTCGTAGCTCAACTCTACCTAATAGTGCCGATGCAATAAATGAACTATAGTTAACGACATTGCACATAAGCATTACTTACCAATTTCAGTGTTTTTCCTTTTGGGCAGATTTCTTGAAGAAAGATGTCTGCCTTGACTGTTGATGACGTTGGTAAGATCTGTAATAGGGTAGCAACATGTTCAGTGAATATGTTCATAAAGAAACCATGATCCAAACAAAAGGCAAAGGTTCTTCAAGATATATACAGTGTTTGGTGTACAAAAATAGAATAAAATGCCTTACCCATGTCAACGTTGTTGAAGCAGAGCTGGTGAACCCTCCTCAAGGTATCCAGAGCTTCTCACTGCGACCAGAACTTGGGTTTTCGATGTGATTTACCGACTTGTTGAATAGTTATCGTTTGATCGTCTGACAGAACGTTCTCGACGATTTAACGATATTTAACGATACCTGATTAGGGTTAAATCTATATATACCATTTTTATGGTCGGGCGTCCACGGCTGATTGGTATATCAAATCAAACACAAGGGTGTATATCATGCCCCTGAGTGTTCACGCCTCACTGGGTGGTCACGTAATAAGGTGTGGCACCAGCATCTCGGGTTACAATTTGATATTAATTCAAGTACTCCACTGATAATGTACATAGGTAGTTAACTTAATTACATTCAGTTTTGTCCGACAAGGAGCGAGTTTACTTTTTTTTAGACACAGACTTTGTAACAGGCTCTTCCCCTGGAAACACATATATTGTAAATAAATATTTTGCCGTTTCCATCAACTTTATCACGTGATGTTCTATAACTGTTGTCTTGTACACTATCCATAGGGTAAGTCAGCTGGCTCGAGGAATTTTCATATAGTATTATCATTAAACAACATACCCTATGCAACAGTTATGTTGCTACCCAGACAAAACTATTTTTTTATTCTATGTTAAATGTAAACGATCAGTTTTTATTATAAATACAAAACCACCTTTTAAGCGGTAATACCTATCACGCATTAAACAACATATATGAACAACCATGTGATTATAAAGTCTCACGTTGGTTCCTCCGTGCAACTTCATGCCTGACTTACATTCATATTGTTCTTTCACCACACTTACGCTTCTCCAAATTTAGAAAGAAGCTGTGTACACAGTGTTCTTGCGAGTTACAATAACGCGTCCGGTTTGGCGGCAACTTCAAAGAGTGGACATATGGTTGCTCCTTCAGGTAGCTATAATTACCCTCTCTATAATGCAATATCGTATTATCCATTTGTAATGAATGATAGTAACACTAAATCGGATTGGATTCAGTTAAATCTACATTTCTCAAGGTCTCTAACATCGAGATTTGAAATATCTTTCATGTAAATACCTTCTTTGTCATGTGACTTGTATATATTCGTGTATATTCAGAATCGTACCTACGCACAATGTCTTTGAACAATGGCACAAGCAACGTGGTCTCTTTCTGTAAAACATAGCACTCTTTATTTCAGCCACAGCAAAGATCCCGAACCACGTGCAGTCAGCAGAGTTACAGCGTCTGGTTACCGTCTTGCAGTTACGATACAGATAAGACGTCAAAATATTTATTGTTTTATTTCTGGAAACGCCGACCCTAGAACGTGGAATTTTGGTAACACGGTTATTTCATATAACAACAACCAAATAACAACCTGTACTCCAAACAGTGAATGTGTGGCTCTGCTGCCATGCGAAACGCGATTTGTAAGAGTCTAATTTTAGTGTATTTATTTCTACCACTTTTGATAAAAAAATACGCAAACAATCTAATCTGAAAAGGAGATATCTCCATCCCCTATGGTGTTATTGCGACTTGTATACTGTCTACATGTACATTAGGCAACTTATTGTAGCTGTATGGCGACACTTGTAGTGTAGCTATGTGACCATGAATTTGCCTGTGGTGATCAGTGAAAGTGAAAACACGGAAAATTACAAAATACCAATCCATGCAGTATTTTGATGATTTACATGCGAGTTTTCTATTATTTATAACGTTAGAAATATTTAGATAAAAATAACTTTATAGACCCTATGTTAATTAATATAACAAATTGTTGTATTAATGTTTTCCTAAAATAAACATATATATCATCTTTTCTTATTGCCCCATCAAAGCTGGTGCTGAGACAATATAGAATACCCAAACGACGCATATTGTACGTGCCGTGCCGCCAGACTTCCTGCCAACTTGGCAATTAAATATCCTCGGGTATTGTCACTTCATACGGTGATACATTGTCTCGCGCACGTGGTCGGTGGGTTTTGTCTATCAGCGCCACGATCACGTGATCGTTTTGTTAATTACTCTGTGTTACGGTCTCGCCGATCCTAAACTTTCAAAGCCTTCAATAAAATTTATGAGATCATTATCTTATCTTTATTCCGACTGAATCCACCTTTATTTCAGACGCCCCCTCACACACACACTCCCAATGCAAATTCACTGAGGCTTGACCGTTACCAATTAACAGCTGTCAATTAAACAGTTCGCATCTAAGTAGTATGTTATCGAATATATTGAAAACCTTTAGCGTGCTACTTTAGGGGGGGGGGGGGGGGGGGGGAGGTGGTTAAAGGAGGGTGTTGGTTGTTCACAGGGTATACCGGTATTTCAATAATTGTATGATATATTTAGTCCTTGGGCAGCCCCAATCTAAAAACAACAATAAAATTCTAACTCTCACCGACTCCCTTAGTGGACTAAAAGCCCTCCAAAACAAAAATACCAAAAAACGACCTAAATTAATAAACCAAATACTTAAAAGCTCCGACGACCTAACAAAAGCAGGCAAACAAATAACCTTCTTGTGGATCCCCGCCCACGTAGGAATTTACGGCAACGAAAGCGCCGATAAAGCAGCTAAATTATCTCTCAAAATACCAGTAATAAGCCTAAACCTACCCATCTCAAAATCAGAAATTAAAAGTGTAAACAAACAAAAAATAACCATAAAATGGCATAATCAATATCAAAACTCAAATAGCCAAATCAAAAAAGTGCTCAGAAAACCACTAGCCAAAACCTAAAATCCTACACCTCTCTAAATAAATTGACAGATTTATTACAAAAACTCCAAACAGGACACACGAACCTAAATAACCACCTAAAAAAACTTAAAAGACACATCACAGGCAACTGCCCCCACTGCAAACAACCCGAAACCACAGAACACGCACTCATCCACTGCACCCACTACCAAACACACAGAACCACACTACAAACCGCCCTCAATCTAAATAAGGTTCCTACTCTAGATGAAATACTAAACCCTCAAAATATACCAGAAAACTTCAAGGCCCTAGACGTATTCCTAATCAAAACAGACCTAATTAAGCGCATCTAAAAACTAATTATTCTACCAATCCAAAATCCAATAAACATACAAACACCCACCTCACCCGGCTCCCATAGTTCCCTCCTCTACCCACCTCGGCATTTATTCCAAATTTAAAAATTCCAAAACTTCAATATAAGCAACCCCTAAAACCCCCCTCTTGGGTTGCACACATCACTTTCACCCTTTTCGGAATACAATAAATGGTCCGGCCAGGCCCGTGTGCGAAATACGCTACAGTCGGAAAGCGCACGTTAAATCTCCTATATCAGTCAGTCAGACCCCAGTGTTTCATATCATTTTCCCACCAAACTAAAAAAGAATAACCCCCAACTGGATATGTTTCGTTTCGTCTGTCGATTCATATTTTGGAAATTCAAGGGGAACCACTCCGGCTTATGCAGCACACACATTTGGGAAGGTTGCTTCAATAATAATAATACCATGGTTTCACAGTCGTTCGGAACTTTTTTAAGATCTGACATCAGATTATGCTGTCCGAAAATTTATCTATTTTTTTTTAGTGGAGACAGGCCTATCGGAAATTCGAACTTGAACAGCAACGCCAAAACCACATTCCGCCGCAGTGACCAGCTGCTGATGACATAGACTAGGCTAGCTTTACACTAAGTCTTGTACCAGGCTGGCCCCTCTGGGTAGTAGGTCTGGTCTCTCCTTTGTCCTTGGACCCCCTTTCCGATCATAAGGGTTGAGTACCCCTTGCCAATGAAACACGTGTTTACCATCCTTTTACCTTAGAGCACCTATTTACGACACATGGGGTTAGTTTTGAGTTCGGTTATGGTTTAGAAGTCTCTTGATATAAACATATTTATTTCCATAAAGTGGAGGGATTGGCAAACAAGCAAATTTTGCTTATCTGAATGCCTCTCCCAAACATGATACATAAGTCTCTTTTAACCAATTAATCCAATGTAATTTTCGCAGTATACTCATCCTTATATAATTTCAGCTTCATGACAGTGTGAACATTGGGTGCCCCCTACACAAGTATGCAGTCACTGACAACTTGACCTATACAAAACGGAAGATGCAGACGACTAGCACAAGCACGCACGCACACACACACTCACACGCACGCACGCACATGCTATATAAGTGCAATTATCTTGGACGCGACATTCAACCCAATTTCAACTCACCTCACTTATCTTACTTTGTTCATGTGCCTAAAGTTTGTGGAATGTGTTAATTACTGAAATGAAAAGCATTTTAATGTTTTTTTCATATCTTTTCAGAATATGTGCACATAGCTTTCAATGACCAGACGAAAAAAAGAATTCATTTCAAGTATGTTGAGAAGAAAACGTAAGTAAAGCACACTATTTACATTCATAATACATTTTATTCCGCAGGCTCTATTGTAAAGTTAAACTCTAGCTGCGTATAGGCTGCCATTATCCATTATATTAGACAATATGGATCCACTCATCTATACATCTATTTTCTTTTGTGACAGGACCCATCTCTGAAAAAATCACCTCACCCAAGAAAATACGACTCATTCATGAGAATGAAAAGTGCAAAGTCTCCCAAGAAATTGTCTTGTAATATAGCATGTGAATAAATAATTTTTTGAAATATCTCACGAAATTAGTTTTATTTTATTGCTTGTAATCATGTGAACTAAAAATGTTTGTTTTGAGGAAAAATGTCATTTGAAGCAACTCCAGGTTAAACTATCCAATGATTGAATCTTATTTCTCCTGAATTAAAATAATTCTGCTAAATATTACTGCAGAAAAAAATTCGGCCAGAAATTTCTGTAGAAAAAAAAAATTCGGCCAGAAATTTCTGTAGAAAAAAAAAATACTGCCAGAAATTTCTGCAGAAAAAAAAAATTCGGCCAGAAATTTCTGCAGTAATGCATTTTCTGAGCCAATTTTTGAGCTTATGAACATGTGAACACACTGGGACACACATTATTTGGATTCGTCTCCTCGAGAGCTTTCCAGTGATATAAAACATGTTTTTGTAGCTCGCTTCCTTCTGTGTGGTCAAGTTCGGACTCCTGGCCATTCCTAAGTTGTCCCGCCCTGCCTTATGTACTCAAACACATCATACACCAGATACCCAGTAGTCGGGATACAAGGACACATACATGTACTCAAACACATCATACACCAGATACCCAGTAGTCGGGATACAAGGACACATACATGTACTCAAACACATCATACACCACATACCCAGTAGTCGGGATACAAGGACACATACATGTACTCAAACACATACACAAGATACCCAGTAGTCGGGATACAAGGACACATACATGTACTCAAACACATCATACACCAGATACCCAGTAGTCGGGATACAAGGACACATACATGTACTCAAACACATCATACACCAGATACCCAGTAGTCGGGATACAAGGACACATACATGTACTCAAACACATCATACACCACATACCCAGTA